GCTGCTGCTTCTTTTTTAAGCAAGTTTCTGGCTCTCACAGCTGCAAACAGAAACTTGAAAATGTGAATCCCATTGGCTCCAAAACCAGAAGGTAAATAAAAAGAACCTCAAGATTACTGGTTTTATATTTTTAAATCTCATGATTTGGGGGGGCGGCAGGGACCTGCTTCGCGATTCTTAAGCCACACTACTATTGTCTGCACCAATTCAGCAACAGCAAGTGAGGAGCTGAGAATCCAGGTTCCCATCCCATTTGAAGTATGGCATCAATGAAACCTGCTCCATACGGTACTGGACTAACAGGGGTCCTTAGTCTGTTAACCATTGGGGGCTTGGGGAGTGACTTATTATTATTTGTATTATGGTAGCATCGAGAGGCGGCTGCTGAGATCAGGACCCCATCATGCTAGGCACGGTACACAGACATAGTGAGAGTCAGCCTCTGCCCTGAAAAACTTGCAAGCCAAATAGAAAAGAGAAACAAAGGAACAACAAGAAGCCCAGCAGTGACGAAGCTCTTCTCATGAATAGGTCTTAAAGTGCTTTAACAGAGGAGGTCAGTATCATTAACTCCACTTTACAGGTGGGGAAACTGAGGCAGGGAGGGGACTTGCCCAAAGTCACACAAGGAGCCAGGGACAGACCCCAGACCGCCTGAGGCAAATGCCTCTGTCTTACCCACAGGACCATCCTCCTTCTCCAAGTACAGCCCCTCCGCTGTACAGCTCCCGGCACCCAGACACATCTTGACGACGAGCAAATGCCTCCGAGCCTTACCCATTGGCGAAGTCCATCCCAGAAGCGAAGAGGGAGATTTCTGCAAAGGTGAAAACAAAAAGACAGTAGGAAGCCGTAGCCCGGAGGCCAACGAAGAGGTTCACAGCAAGGTCAGCGTCCCGTGGGCTTCACTAAACTAACCACTAGGATACCGATCCAGCACCCTGCAGCTTCCTAGAGATACCGCAAGGCTCGGGGTTAGGACCGGAGAACACAGGAGCGGAATAGCGTTGAGTCTTGCTTTCTGTCTACGGCTCAACTACTCCAAGTCCTCTGAAATCCCCACACTCAGGGCCAGCTCCAAGCACCAGCTTACCAAGCAGGTGCTTGGGGCGGCCACTTCGGAGAGGGGCGGCGCGTCCAGCTGTTCGGCGGCAATTCGGCGGACAGTCCCTCACTCCTGCTCGGAGCGAAGGACCTCCCGCCGCATTGCCGCCGCAGATCACGATCGCGGCTTTTTTGTTTGTTTGGCTGCTTGGGGCGGCCAAAACCCTGGAGCCGGCCCTGCCCACACTTACTCGGATTGTCTTGAAATTTGCTGTGCCACCTCGGCGGGGAGGGGTAAGGCTCATGGTCCAGCTCTGGGGCTGTTTGAGTAAAGGGGTCTTGAGATACAGCCCCCTAGAACTAGCCATTTGCAAAATCGCCCGGCTCTGATCACTTTTTTTGTGCACCTGGAGGGCACGAATGAGAGGTTTAAGTATCGCCTCTCTCCCCACGCTGGCAGGGCAGCAGGCCCCACCGGGCAACCTCACCTCGGGGCTAAAGTTTTGGGGCGTTCCATTGATTTAGGAGGGAAACGGCAGCACAGCAGATGGCTCATGACAGATTCAGAGCCGGGCTGGTGCCCGAGGGCGAAGGCCAGTGGACATCATCACACTGCAAAGTCCCGGAAAGCTCCCCGCCGAAACCCGAGGCTGCGCCGGAGACGCACAGTTGCCTCAGGAAGGGGCGGCCCGCAAGGCCATGGTCACAAAGCCGAGGGCCTGGTGGAAACACTCAGCGTGCTGGAGAGATCACCGAGCATCAGGGCCGCGGGACGGGACCCTCCCCGAGGGAAACGCTCTCGTCCTAGAGAGAAGTCGCTCCCCTCACAGAGGAGAGGGCACCAGTCAAAGGCTGATGTGCCCCTTGCCGCCTGCTTGGGCCTGGCTTTGGGCTGGCTCTCTGCCCCCAGCTGAGTCGCCCACCTTAGCAAGGGGATCAGGTGGGAAGCTGACCCAGGTCGCTTTGATCCGGCTTCCACCCACGGGGCAGGCGTCTGCCCTCCGCCCGGCAGCGGCTATCACCGCTGGGCGAGGCGTTCCCAGCCTTACAGCTGCACTCAATTGCTGGTGACAACACGGCCCAGTTCCTCTCCTCCCTGTCGGGCGAGAGCCTGGCTAGGGGGCAGGCATAGGCACCAACTCTGGGGGTGCTCAGGGGCTCACGCACCCCTGGGGCTGGCTGCCAATCAGCTCTTCAGCGGCCGCCCCACCCGTCAGCTGTCGAGCGGGGCTGCCCCGCCACTGACCCCTCTCTGCCCCCTCCCCCGCCCCCAATGTCCTTAAGGCAGGAAGGGGCAGAAAGGAGTGGGCAGGGAGGGGCGCTCAGGGGAGGGGGGCTCAGGGAAGGGGCGGGGTTTTTGGGGGGGGGGCAGTGTGGAACACCCACCAGCAAAACCAAAAGTCCTGTGGGCGCAGGGCTAAGGAAGAAAAGCCGGCTGGGATGGGGAAGGGTTTGTCCTAGGATTGCAGAGCGAGAGACACCCCCTGTTTCCCAACCCTCCCCCCAAGAAGGGAGGCTCGGCCAGGAAGGAAATCCAACAGGTCAAATGCCCTGGAGCAGGTCCTGGGGATTTCCTCTGGTCTCAGCTCTCTCCCTGGTGGCCAGTAGCCAGCACTGCTCGGGTGCCCAGATGTCCCAATTTTATAGGGACAGTCCTGACTTTTGGGTCTTTTTCATAGAATAGAATATCAGGGTTGGAAGGGACCTCAGGAGGTCATCTAGTCCAACTCCCTGCTCAAAGCAGGACCAATCCACAGACAGATTTTTGCCCCAGATCCCTAAATGACCCTCTCAAGGATTGAACTCACAACCCTGGGTTTAGCAGGCCAATGCTCAAACCACTGAGCTATCTTATGTTGGCTCCTATTACCCCCTGTCCCGATTTTTCACACTTGCTGTCTGGTCGCCCTAGGCACTGCCTGGTGGGGAATTTGGAGCCAAGGCGGCGGGAGGTACATGGCAGAACACCTGGCCCGTGCTCAGGGCTCTGCTGGCACTGCACAGCAGCAAGGGGGCGCCCCAAGCCTCTCTGGACGCCCCCCCCCCCCCCGCCAGCACTTGGGGTTGCCTGACAGGCTGGGGTCAGAGGAGCCAGGTGGAGGGGCCTTCCCTACTCACCATCCGCATCCGGGAAGCGGTCGATGCCGCTCAGGGAAACGCACTTGGAGAGGGCGCTGGAGGCGGGGTTCTGCCCGGTCCGATAGGCCTGCAAACTCCTGGCGTCTTCCTGGGGACAAGCGCAGGGATCAGTGCCAGGCAGCGCAGGGGTACGGCTGCCCCCGCTGCGCCAGGTGAGGGGGGTGGCTCGGGGCAACGGCTCAAAAACACAGCGGCGTGCCCACTGCTTCCCGCAGCACCCGCCCGTAGGAGGGCAGGGTCCCCGCCACACCCCCTCGCCAGCGGAACGGGGGTTCACGAACCCCTGGCTGGGACCCCCACTCACTGCTCCAAGGAGAGCTGGTTGGGGTTGCTGTGGGGAGGGGGTGAAGAATTTCGCCTCTCCAGACGCTCTTGCTTGGTCAGATCACTTCGCCCACCACTAAAATGCAGCCACCTCTGGGGTGGAACCCCACAGCAGCAGCAGCAAGAGAGTGAGACGATTCAAGAAGCAGCCTGTACACCTCCACTGTCGGGGGCTCCCCTCCCGTTCTCCGTTGCCCAGCCCCGCCATTCCCCATCACACCATCCCCATGGCACCTACAGGCGCTGCCTCCATGGCAGGTGACACCCGAAATGCACGTGGTGGATTTTTCGCTGCCTGTGGTGCACTGAGGTTTTGTTTTTCGGGGCAGAAATTAGTTGCCCTCCTCCCCCCACCCTTAGCTCTTTGCTTCTCTTCCCCCCGTCCCCTGTTCCTGTCCGCTGGAGAGGAGGAGAGGGAATCCAGTGCCAGGAGACCAGCAAGCATCCCAGAGATCAGCAGGACTCCAGCGTGGGAACCTTTACCTGGCACTGGGCCTAAGGACCCCGAGTTCCATTCCCAGATCTGCCACTGGCCCACCCAGGGCAAGTCACTGCCCTGCTCTGTGCCTCAGTTTCCCCTCCCACCCGTTTTCTGTTTAGGCTGTCAGCTCTTTGGAGCAGGGACTGTCTCTCACTAGTGTAGGTGAAGCACCTACCTCAGCAGGGGTCTGATCTAGGCCCTACCAAAAATGCAGAGAATAGTTGTAGGAAGAATTGGCCCAGGCTGGAATTTAGCCAGGAAACCAGGGGTTAAACACCCTGGATGTTTTTTAAAGCACTGTGGGACCTGCATCTGGCCCCAGCGTGATCACAGCTGGAATCCTGGGCCCCCTTCTGGTGTCCACAATTCCAGCAGGAGGCTGGCGAAGGCTCAGGGAAGAGGCACGAGCCGGATGAAAGGATCGGAGGACGCGTCCGAGAGGGGCACGCACAAGCGGCTCGATCTGTTTAGCGTCACAAAGGGAAGGTGAAGGGGTGACTGGATCCCAGGCCGTGAGTCTCTCCACCGGGAATTAACGAGCTCTTTGGTCTAGCAGAGGAAGGGGGAACGCGAGCCAATGGCTGGAAGCTGAAGCTAGACAGATCCAGACCGGAAACAAGGCGCAGATTTTTCACAGGGAAGGTAATTAACCATCGGAACAACTCCTCCGGGGTTGTAGTGGATTCTCCATCACTGGAGACTTTTCAATCAAGATTGGATGTTTGTATCGGAAATCTGCGCTAGTTCAAAGAGGAATTAACCCAGGGAAGTCCTATGGCCCGTGTTATGCAGCAGGTCGGACCCGCTGGGGGGGGGGGGGGGCTCCCTGTGAATGGGGGGGGCAATGGAGGGATAACGAGGGGAGCTACTGAGATGGGAGGTGCCCTGTGCTCCCCCCACGCTCTCAGTGGCTGGGACCCTGTGTGCCAAAGCCCCCTCCCCTCTACCCTGTCCTGTCCCCCCGGCCTGGGAGAGCCTGGAAGGAGGGACCAGGCTGGGCCGGGGAGTCCTAGCTGCCACTCAGAGTGATCCCAAACACCTTAGCGACCACTCCAGTCCCCCCTCGGCGTCCCACTCATCTCCGCCCCCCAGCACATGGGGGGGGGGGAGAGAAAAGGGGGAGGGGAACAAATCCAAGTCGCACTCTGGCAAAGCGGAACACACTGGTGGGTGGTGACGTAGAGATGACCCATGGCGGGCCTCGACCATGAATATTTCCATTGTGGGGGCACTAGGCCCCCCCCACAGCCATGGTTCCAGGGGGGCTGGAACAATTTGTACAGTGGGGGGGTGCTGAGAGCCACTGAACCAAACTGTTATCCCTGTATAGAATGGAATTCACTCCCAGCCAGGGGGTGCGGCAGCCCCCCCAGCACCCTCTAGTTCCAGCACCCAGGTCTGGTTCCCCCACCCCAGACACAACGTCCCGTCTGGCTCTACGATCTAGGAACGGAAGGAGCAGCCAGGCCGTGGCTACACGTCTCGCACGAGGCTCCGTACTTCGCTTTTACCCCACGGGCTTTGCTGGCGCCGGCTCTAGGCACCAGCAAACCAAGCACGTACTTGGGGCGGCACATTTTCAGGGGCGGCATTCCAGACATCATTTTTTTTTTCCCACTTCGGGCGGCAAAAGCCTAGAGCCAGCCCTCAGGGCTGCCCGGGGGGGGGGGGGGGGGGAGAGGGGGGGCTTTGCCCCCGGCCCCCCAGGGACCCCCACGAGAATATACCATTCTATAGTATTGCAACTTTTTTTATGGAAGGGGGCCCCCGAAATTGCTTTGCCCCAGGCCCCCTGAATCCTCTGGGCAGCCCTGCCGGCCCGGGCAGCAGCAGCGTGTCTTGCGCGGGGGGCGCCCTGGGGCCGCTGTGGTTCGCGCCGCGGGGGAGCAACACCCGCACCTTGTGGCTGGACCGGGCAGGCTCCGAGCGGGGGACACTCAGGCTGGGGGCTGCCCTGCCTGCAGATGCCGCAGGGCGGCCGCCCCCCAGCGCCGCAGCCGGGGCTGGGCGAAGCGGCCCGAGCTGCCCAGGGACTGCGGCAGGACGGCCAGAAGCAGCAGCAGCAGCGGGGCCATAGAGGGCAGGGCGCTGCCGTGCGGGGCCCACGTCCCGCTCTCCGGGGCTCCACTCCCTCTGGGGCTACCCTGCCCCGGCTCTTCAGCCCCCTGCCGGGCGGTCCCCCGGCTCTGCCCTCCCGGGTCCTGGCCAGTCCTGGAGACGGGAGCCCTGGCTGGAGGGACCCTGGGCTGAGGCGCAGCCCGGGAGCCCCACTGCTTACCCCGACCCTGCCAGCGCCGGACCGGCCGGAGGTGAGGGGGGAGCGGGCGGAGTCAGCACTGGTGGGGGGGAGCCCAGGGCTGGGGCGGCAGGGGGTGCGGGTGGGGTGGGATAGGGGGGAGAGTGAGCCCAGGGCTGGGGTGGCAGGGGGTGTGGGTGGGGGAGGGCACTGTTGGGGGGCAGGTGAGAGCCCAGGGCTGGGGTGGGGGGCAGCCAAAATTTTTTTTGCTTGGGGCGGCAAAAACCTAGAGCCAGCCCTGTCGCCAACGCTGCCGGCCGTTTCCCTTCCCCAGAAGAGAAACATCACTTATCGAGGCTAACACGCCCCCAAACAGGAACTGTTCTGCCTTCCTCCTTCCACCGCGGGCTGACAAAGGGAGCCGCAGAGTCACGGTGAAAACAGATGAGAAGTGGAGCAGAGAGCGCTGGGCAGGGACAGGAGGGGTTGCCTGGCTGGCTTAGCTCATTGCGGAGTCTGCTTTGAACTTCCTCCTACTCTCCCAGACTGCACTGCAGGGCCATCTTATTTCTCTTCACCTCCCTGCCAGACCAGATTCGGTCCCTCTCAGCCGGCATCCACCCTCCCTCCAAAGTGGATCGGATTCCTGCCCGGTCTCCCCACACCTTGTATCAGAGACCATTGGCCCATCTGAGTCAGTATCCCTGCCTCTTATGGCCTGTTTTGGGTGCTACAGAGCAAGGCAGCTGCCCCTGGGGATACAGCTGCGGCCGGGTGCCTAGTGATGCGCAAGCAGAGGGATAATTCCTTCCTGATCCGTCTCAGGTGCGGGACAAGGCCCTGAAGCATGAGAGCTGGTTGCATGATTGCTGCAAACATGCAGGTGCAGGTAGGCGAGATTTGGGGGAGGGAGAAGGGCACTGATCCTGTGAGGTGCAGAGCAATCTCGCTGAAGCCAATGGGAGCTGAGGACACTCAGCAGCTGGCAGGAGATAGTCAGCACCTTCCAGGATCTGGCCCTCCACCCCCTTCGGGCAAGTCCCCTGGGGCTCAAGGGAGGAAGGGGAGATGCATCCCCTACCTGAGCCCGCTCCAGGTCCTCCTCCTCCTCCTCGTCCTGCGAGAGCAGGGACTCCAGCCCGTCGTTGCTGCGGATGATGGGGGCCCGGCGGGGGTCCCTGCGGTGTCGGGAGAAGCCGTCCAACTGCCCCGCAGCGGAGTCGAGCTCCTCAGGGGCCAGGCCCTTCAAACTCACGCTGAAACAGACGAGGGAGAGCCAGGCTGAGAACTCCGAGGCCGGGGCCCAGAAACCTGCTAGCCGCCTCCCCACCCCCAACCCCAAATCCAAACCAACGCACACTGGGACTGCTTCATTCCCTCCACCGCAGCAGAGGGCGCCACGCATGCCCCCCCCCCGCCCCCCAAAACTCCCACGCTCCCCTCCCGGTTCTGACAGCGACTCCCCTCCGAGACCGGGGGCAGGTCCTGAGCTCTGAACACTAAGCTGCGGTGCAGGTCATGTCCCCACTCCGTGCCTCGGTTTCCCCCTTTTGCACCAGGGGGATGAGGATGCCTTGCTGCCCCTGCAGCTAGGGTTAATCCGTCCCCAAGGGGGATTTAGTCGTAGATGCTTCACACCAGCATAGCGGGAGGTTTGACTCTCGCCGCTGGCTTCGAAATAAAAACCCACTCTTTTTCAGGGAGGTCACAACCAGCTGCATCTTGGATCATGCTGCTCTTTCCTTTCTCTTCCCCATAAAGAGGTCCAACAACCCCCCCCCCCCCCCCCCCGACTTTCAGCATGGGAAAGTTGAATCCTAATGCAAGTTTTGCAAACAGCATTGGATCCTCATAGCAACCCAGGGAAGCAGAGGCCAGGACAGAGCCCACGTCTCCAACACGCAGGTCGCTTGCCTTAACCACAGACCCCCCCCCCCCCGCCCGCCGCCCCTCCCCCCCTCAGCCCCTGCTAGCTCAGAGGCCAGTAGTGAAATGGACATAGAAATCATTCCCACAGAGCACACCTTACTCACCACAGCCTGCTGAACATGGTGCCTGGATGAACCCCTCCCTCGCCCCCGTCGCAATCTCCCCTTCCCCCTACTCCCCCAACGCCGGCACGTCTCTAGAATCGGTCTCTGGATCTCAGAGCCCGACTTCCTGCTCCGGCCTCCACGCTGTTTGCAGAAGTGGGCTGGTGGTTGGGGGTTGGTTATTTTTCATAGCTGCCTCTTTACAGCGGACGAAAAAGCCAATCATCAGCCTGAGCCGGCCACTCTCAGAAAGAGGAAAAACCCCAACGCTCCCCTCGGAGCGAAAGAGGCTTTGCTTCAACCGGACACACGAAGGGGTCGTGGGGTGGGCGTAGCGGCAGGGTGAGTCAGAGGGGCCGGCTCCCCCATCACGCAAGCAGGGGGCACGGCTTCTGCTACGGACACTGGGGCTTGGATCTTGCCAGGCATGGCTTTACCAGGGAGCTGAAATACTGCGAAACAAAGGACTCGGTTCTCAGCGATGGCCTCTGTCTTTGCCACAGGCAGGTGGTTCATTGAGAGCGCAATTGCCTCAAGCTACCAGCAGGGGGAACCATCTGCCTACTTTGTGACAGATCGGAACACAGGACCGGAGGGGACCACTGGGTCCAGCCCGGGCTGTCACAGGCAGCCCCTCCAGCCATCCCCTTCAGAAACTGATCAAGCACCTCCTAAAGCGAGTTAGGCTGTTGCCTCTGCTACTGGGAGGCTGTCCCAGACCCTCTGTCCTCCGGTGGTTGGAAAACCTTATAATTCCCCGGTGAAATTTACTCACAGCCGCTTCATCCCCCTTTGTTCTCATGCCAACATTTGTCCTTTAGCTCATCCCCCTCCCTGGGGTTCACCCCAGTGTCTTCACAGAGAGCCACCAGATCCCCTCGATCTCAGCCCTGGTTCTGCCACACTGAACAAGCCAGAGACTTTCCGCCCGTGGGGTCAGGTCCCCAGTCCCCTCGTGATCCCTTCTCGGCACTTCCCGCCATCTGAATTCACCTCTCTCGAACTCGACTGGCCAGAATTGTACACAGGATGCCCGACGACGTCTCACCAGCAGCTTGGCACTAATACCTCTCTCTCTCTACTGGACATCCTAGGATGACATTTGCCTTTTTCGAGGGAAAGGCCTGAACTGGATCCCGACCTGTTCAAATTCTAAACCCCGCTCCCCGGGAGCACGTCAGTCTCCCATCCAAGCCCTGACCCAGCCTGGCTCTGCTTAGCTAGCAAAACCAACAGGCTCCAAAGACAAAACAGCAGGTCAGCTTATCAACCGGCGTAAGATGGAGCCCAGCATCTCGGCTCAAGCCGGGCCAGCTGCCAAAGCAATGCTTTGTTCGTCGTCGCCATCAATCCCGGGGCCCGTTCGCTGGGCCGAGCTGCCGAGGGGCGATAAAAGGGAATCAAAGCCACTGAACAGAGGGGCAGCCAAGATCAGAAGTAACAGAGCTGCAGCCACCCTCGTCCCCACCAGCGACCCTGGGATCAGAGCCCACATCCCCAACCCCATCGGAGGCCAGTCCATGGGAGCCCGTCTACAGGGACGCCCACGCAATAGAGCTGCATGTACCAAGTAGGAAGGGGCCGACGGTTCATGGACAGAGGCTAGGACAGGAAGTGGGGAAGCGGCCACAGCAGGACAGAGCCATGGTCTATCATTATTTGGATTGGAGTCCTAGCCACGGACCAGGGCCCCACTGCGCAAGGTGCTGCACAGACACAGAACACGAACACTTAGCTCTGACACAGAGTTTTCCCTCAGTAGGTCGCAAAGCACTTTATAAAAGGAGGCCAGTATCATTTCACAGCTACAGAAACTGAGGCCCGGAGAGGGGCTGTGGTTTGCCCTGGAGCAGAGGGATGGGGAGCCCTCAGATTTTTATCCCAACTAGCATCACTGCGTGTGAGCCACAAGGTTTAAGCCTTTCAATGGTCTTGCCAAACTTTGTGCAGTCCTGTGGCAAGCAGTTCCACAGGTTAACATCCCCCTAGGTAGTATTGCT